CTTTAAAGAACTAGAAAAAGAACAAATGAAACCCCAAATTGATAGAAAGAAAATAATAATAAAATTTGGAGCAGAATTAAGCAAAATAGAGAAAAAGACAGTAGAAAATATTAACACAACTAAGAGCTGATTTTTTGAAGATTAATTGACAAACCTCTGGCAAGACTCACTAAGGGAAAAAGAGAAAAGACTCAAAATTAGAAATGATAAGGAGAAGTTACAATGTATACCAAAGAAATACAATGAATTATACAAGAATACTATGAAAGGCTATATGCCACCATATTCAATAACCTAGAAGAAATGGATAAATTGTTTGAAATATATAACGTTCCCAGACTGAATCATGAAGAACTGGAAAATCTAAATAGACTGATCAATAGTAAGGAAATCGAAAGTCATCGAAAACCTTACAAAGAACAAAAGTCCAGTACCAGATGGCTTCACTTGTGAATTCTACCACAGATTGAAAGACTATTTAACACCTATCCTTCTCAAACTTCCAAAAAGCTGAAAACAAGGCAAAATCTCCTAATTCATGTTATGAGGCCAACATCACCCTGATACCAAAAACTAGCAAGGACAAAGAAAATTATAGTCAAATATCTCTGATGAATATAGATACACAAATACTAAACAAAATAATAGCAAATCGAATACAGCAATACATTAAAAGGATAATACATCACAATCAAGTGGAGTTCAACATATTGAAATCAATCAATGTGATTCACCACATTAACAAAATAAAGAATAAAAATCATATGATCATATCAATAGATGCAGAAAAAGCATTTGACAAGATACATTAATGATTAAAATACTCAATAAAATGGTATAAAAGGAGAATACCTCAACATAATAAAGACCATATACCTCAATATAATAAAGACAAACCCTCAGCTACTATTATATTCAATGGTGAAAAACTGAAAGTTTTTCCTCTAAGATCAAGAACAAGACTAGTAGGCCCATTCTCACCACTGTTACTCAAAATAGTCCTGGAAGTCCTAGTCAGAGCAATCAGGCAAGAGATAAAAATAAGTCATCCGAATTTAGAATGAACACGTAAAATTGTTTCTTATTATAGTTGACATGATTCTATATATAGAAAACCCTAAAGACTCCACCAAAAATCTAGAAACAATAAACAGTAAAGTTGCAGGATACAAAATCAATGTACAAAAATCCATTGCATTCCTGTATACCAACAATGAAATATCAGAAAAAGAAATGCAATTTGCAGTTGCAACAAAAAGGATTAAAATACCCAGGAATAAATTTAACAAAGGAAGTGAAGGACCTGTACACTGAAAACTAAGAGACTGTTGAAAGGAATAGAAAGATGTTTTGTGTTCATGAATTGGAAGTTAAATGTAGTTAAAATGGTCATGTTATCTAAAGCAATGTACAGACTTAATGCAATCTCCATCAAAATCCCAATAACATTTTTTCAGAGAGATAGAACAAAAAAAATCAAATTTGTATGAAACCACAAAAGACCACGAAGAGCCAAAGCAATTCTAAGAAAAGGCAAATAAATGTGTCACACTCCCTGACTTCAAATCATACCACAAAGAAACAATAATCAAAGCATTATGGTACTGGCAGAAAAACACACACAGAGACCAATGTAACAGAAATGAAAGCCTAGAAATAAATCAACACGTAAATGGAAAACTAATTTTCAACGAGGGAGCTGAAGACATACAATGGAGAAAGGAAAGCCTCTTCAATAAATGGTGGTGGGAAAATTGGAAAGCCACATGCAAAAGAATGAAACTACACTGCTATTTGACACCATACACAAAAATTAATTCAAAATGCATTAAAGACATAAATATAAGACTTGAAACAATAAAATACATAGAAGATACACAGGTACTAAATTATGGACCTTGGTCTCAGAGAGGCTTTTGTGAACTTGACCCCAAAGGCAAAGGAAGTAAAAGCAAAAATAAATGAATGGTACTACATCAAACTAAAAAGCTTCTGCATAGCATAGGAAACCATCAACAAAAAGGCAACCAACCAAATGGGAGAAGATATTTGTAAACATCACCTCCGATAAGGGGCTAATATACAAAATATATAAAGAACACACAGAACTCAACAAAATAACAATCCAATTAAAAAATAGGAAGAGGATCTGAACAGATACTTTTCCCAAGAAGACAAACAAATGGCCAACAGACATATGAAAAGATGTTCAAATTCACTAACTATAAGGGAAATGCAAATCAAAATCACAATGAGATACCACCTCTCACCTGTTAGAATGGCTATTATCAATAAGACAAAAACAGCTGCTGGAGAGGATGTGGAAAAAAGGAACCCTCTGCTGGTGGGAATGTAAATTGGTACAGCCACTATGGAAAACAGTATGAAAGTTCCTCAAAAAATTAACAATAAAGCTACCACAGAGGGACCCAGCAATCCCTCTTCTGGGTATCTACCAGAACAATCTGCAAACATTTATTCATAAAGATATATGTACCCCTATGTTCACTGCAGCATTATTCACAGTAGCAAAGGCATGAAAACAACCTTAGTGTCCTCTGACAGATGAGTGGATAAAGAAGATGTAGTACATACAATGGAATACTGTTCAGTCATAAGAAAGAATGAAACGCTGTCATTTGCAACAACATGGATGGATCTTGAGAGTATCATGCTGAGTGAAATAAGTCAGATGGAAAAGGACAGGAAACATATGACTTCACTCATATGGGGGATATAAAACAGAAAGCAACAAACAAAACAAACAGACTGAGACACAGACAATAGTGTGGTGATTATCAGAGAGGAAGGCGATTGGGGGAGGATGAAGGTAAAGGAGGTCAAATACATGCTGAGACTAGATTTTGGGTGGTATAGAATTGTATACTTGAAACTTATATAATGTTATTAACCAATGTCATCCCAATAAATTTAATTTTTAGACAGGAGAATATAAGGAGAATTCAGTGAAAATAGAAAACAAAACAGAGAAAACCAAAAGTTGGTTCTTTGAAAAGATTAATTGATAAGGCATTAACAAGATTGATCAAGGGAAAAAACAACTCACAACAGCTAAATCTCAACATTATGCCTAGTGAAAGAAGTCAATCACAAAAGAAAACATTCTGTGCAATTCAGTTTATATGAAATTCAAGAACAGGAATATCAGAACAGTAGTATCTCTGAGAGGAGGATATAGTGCCTGGAAAGGACACAAGGTTACTTTTGGGGGGTGGTGAAAATATTCTATATATTGATTAAAGTGATAGTTACACAGATGTACAAAAGCCCCAAATCATAAAGTTATACATGTAAAATATATGCATTTTATTGTATGGAAAGTAATTCAATAAAAAAAATTCACTCAATTCCTTTATGTCCCTCCAGCTCTACCCTTTAGCTAAGCTTCTTGAAAGAATTACATACACCCACTGTCTCCATTTTCTCACTTGTGTTCATTTTTCATCCCCCTTGAATTTAGCTTCTTCCCTATCACTCTACCAAAACATTTCTAAGGTCACTTCTGTGTTACTGAACCCAGCCAATTTTTTCAGTTCTTATAGAACTTGACCACTCCTCAGTAGTAGTCAACAATGTTGATGACTTCTTTGGAAATATTGTACAGGAACTTTTCAAGGTTCAGCTCCGGGCTCTTGCATCGCTCCTCTTAATCTTGTCTTCCTAGTCACTAGTGGCTTCTGCTACAATCTCTGGGCAGGCTTCTCCCCTAAATCTTAATATCCCCCCTTGGATTTCTTGGAGTATCTTCAAATTTAACATGGTTTGAAACAACTCAGTCTTCTTCCTCGAACCTATTTCAGTGTTGCTTATTTCAGTGAATGGCCCCACGTATCTAGTTCTGAAGACTAGAAGTCAAAACATCCCCCCTTAATCTTCCTTTTCTCATGATCCCATATATAGTCCATCATCATATCCTAGTGATATTCACTCCTAGGTGTATGTTTCAATACTGCTTTCTCTCCATTTCTACCACTAACAGTTTAATCCAAGCTACATCATCATATCTCACATAGTTACTCTTAACCAGTCTATCTGCATTCATTCTGGCCTCCTTGCAATCAATTCTCCACTCTTCAAACAGAGAAATACCTTCCAGATGCATATCTGATCACGGCATAGTCTCCCCTGATGCTTTTCAAAATGGCCATGTAGTGGCTTTGCATTGCTTTTTGGATAAAATGGAAAATACTTAACATGACCTGAAAGACCTAGATGGTTTGGCCTTTACCTATATTTGAAGTCTCACTGTGTAACACTCCCTTCACATCCATTCCTGCCTTTTATTGCCTTCTGTTCTTTCCTGCCATAGAGCTATTTTTTACATACTAGTCCTTGTGTCCACAACCTCTCCCTGGCACATAACTCCTATATGTTATTAAGATCTTAGTTTAACATTATATTTTTAAAAAGCATTCACTGACCTGGTTACCTGCTTAAAGCACCATGTACCCCCATCATGGCATTTATTACAGTTGCCCTTTACTTTTGCTTGATGAATTGTCTAAATGACATCCAATTTCTTCACTCATAAGGTGCATGACTACAAGGACCACATTTATTTTTTATCACTTTTATATCTCCAGCCTCTAATAAAGATCTGGCAGGCACCTAGCAGGCCTCATAAATATTTCTATCAAATGTCCTGTTTTTAAGTAGAATTCCAGTTAAACCATCACATCATCCCTCTTGAATCTTTCATCATTCCTTCCTTCAGTGTGTTTCAGAGGCAATTATTATGTTCCATACACTGAGGCACAGCAGTGAATGAGATGGGGTTCTTGCACTCATGCGGCATCTGGTTTAAGTTGATTGACATCATTTCAAAAGTCACTCTAAAGCCAGATTACTCGGTTTCCTAACCTCTGCGGAAGATAAGTTTATTATTATTTTTTAAATAAATCTAACTTTCTGATGACTATGAGGCAATCTTGTTTTATTTTATGGAAACCTTATTTCTTTTTTTTTTCTTTTTCTTCTTCACTTGTAGCAAGTATTACTTATCAAACTCCATTCATTGGGCCAGAGACCCTTGTGGTGTTAATGAAAAACTTGCCCCTTGTATAGCACCCTATTACACTTGTGAGTTCATCGGCCTGTCAGTGGCCTCAGGAAACCTTATTAAACATACAGACCTGAATAATTTTAATTGCTTACCTAATTACATGTCTAATCAGAATGAGAAGCAAGGTACAAAGAATTAAAATGGAAAAAAATATACCCGCTCACAAAAGAAAACCTTATATATATTAGACCCCAAGGAATAACTTACTGTATATCCCAAAAACATCCCTCAAAGAGAAAAGTTAGAAATAAGGCAAGACTTTTTAACTTGTTCATTTAATAACTTCTATTAATAAATCCCTGTCATCATGCCATCAATGGCTCTTGAATATGAACATAGCCTGATTATACAAACTGTCTCACAAGATATCTTAAAGCTCTGTAGTCACTGTAACATATTTGCCTGTTAAACACGTTGGAGGACTTATCAAGTTCAGTTTTGTTCTATGTCCTATAATACTACTAATTTAATCCAAAAACATATCGTTTTGTGTATGTAACGAAGGCGGCTCCTAATTTCATTATCCAAGCCATTGGAGCATCACTTACAGGTTGACGCAGAACCAAAAACTAATAGCCAATATTTACAGAGTGTACAAAGGTTTTCGCACACATCAGTATTTAAGCCTTCATTTATTCAACAGATATTTTAGAAATTGAGTGCTAATTCTATGACAACCTTTAGCTAAATACTGGGAATACAGTAATTATAACAGTAGTTATCAAAATGTTATCTCAGAACCAGTGGCATCAGTGTTACCTGAGAACTTGTTAAAACTGCACATTCTCGAGCCTACTGTATCAGAAACTTTGTGGGTAGGGCCCAGCAACCTATGTTTTAACAAGTGCGCCAAGTGCTTGCTCAAGTTTGAGAACCACTGACCTATAAAATGGCCCCTGGTGTTATATATTAGAAAATTGGGCCTCAAAGAAAGATAAAACAGACTTGAGATACAAGAGACTTTTCCCCATCATTTATCCCCAGAGATTAGAAAAAGTATATAATATGGCATATAATATGGGCATAGTATTATATGTGCTGAGTGTAAAAAACATATGAATATTTGTTGAATGAAAAAAATGAATGAATCCTCCAAATAGTTATGTTATCATCCAATCACGGCAACAGCCCAAGCAATATAATCCTAACTTACTGAAAATGTACATATCGATAACAAATGTATTTTTGAAAAGAGAAATGTTCACCATGACAATGAGAATTATAATGTAAAAACTATTGATTCTTACATAAAAGAGGAAGTTAGCAAAGGTAATCATTAATATAACTATTCAATTTTTCCATACCTTGTTATTTTGCCTTAATTTGCTTAGCTCCAATTTATACTTTTCTGCTTCTTCTAGAGCTCTATTCAAGCGAACTTCTGTAGCATTTTGACTAGTGGAAGCTTGTTTTTGAAGTCGTCTTTTATTTTCTAATTCCTGTAAAGTAAAAGAGATATATGGAGCATTTATAAATATGTTTCCTCTACTATTTTGCAACATTTTCCATTTTTACATTCCTTGCTTTCTCCCAAATTTTACACACATACACACACACACATACACACACACGCACAGAGCATTAGAGGCTGAGCACTAAGTGATAGAGGTCTCAAGGAATTCTTGACTTGGTACTAGAAAAATATATCTTCAAAGATACAGTCATAAATTAGGCTTTCAAATTATTTTTAGTAATTCTCTGCCTCTCTTTATTGACCCCAAGATACAATATAAATATTCTCTATATTTTATAAGCAACTCTTTATAGTTCTTACTTTGGGAACCTCCCAAAACACCAATGTAAGGCATAAACTCCCACATAAATATTGTTGTGTAAAACTGACAAGGTATATCATTTTAAAAAAATAATTGTTAAATACAGAGCATTCAACATTAGTCTTATAGAGAAATCCCAATTCTGAGCAAAAACAACAGATCCTATGGATTATTTTTTACATTTTGGGGTGGGTTTAGACCTGCATTTCTGCAAATATTCTAAGAGATGCTGTTGCAGAGAATCTGCAGGCCAAACTTAACATAAAAAAGAAACATGTACATATAGGATAAACTCCAAACTCCATCATAATTTGGCACCATAATCTCATATCCAACCCCAGATGTTCCTTTTGGCTATGTCAGCAGTACTTGGATCTGTCAAACAGTCATGCTGTATCTTGCTTTTGAGCCTTTGCTCATGCTCTTCCTTTTGCCTTGATTCCTACCTCATCCTCATTTTTACGTGACTAGCACCTACTCAGCCTTTAAGACTCAGCTAGGGCTGTACACTACGGTTTTACCTCCTCTCAGAAGCCTTCCCTATATTCCTCACTATCCTCTCAGGTTGGATTAAGTACCCTTTCTTCAGAGCTTCTATATAGCATCTTGGTATACATATATCATAGTACCTATTGTGTGGAACTGAATCTACCCATTTAGTTCATTCTCCTCACTATAGAGTAAGCTTCTTGGGGATAAGAACTGTCTTAATTTCCATATTCCCAGCACTGTAGTGGCATGTAAGAGGTACTGGTGACATGTTTATTGAACAGAATTTATTTTGTAATACTTAACTCACTCTTCTTTGCACAGCCTGCAATGCCTAGTACAGAGCCTTATACAAAAAACATAATAAATATCATGGAATTGAAATGATGCAGTTAAAAATACAGTTCTCTTTTTTCTTCTTTTATAAATTTTCTCCTGGCTGTATCACTGTGTTTTATTTCAAAACTGATCTCTCTGGCTCTGAGTAATTAAGGGGAAAACTAAACAAAACACATGCTGCTCTTTATGTAAGTTTCTAAACAAATCAAACTGTGTATGAATACCATCTGCTATCACCAGCCTTCTTCACAGCTTTGTGGGTGGTAGCTTACACTAAGAGCAAGCCCAATTTATCTCACTGTTCACATGGAAAATGCAGAGATTCTCATTAGCTACAAAGTCCACAATTCTTGGTAACTTTGTAACCTACTTCACAGAAAAATGAAAACCATCCTTCACCACATATGTCCCCTACTACGGAATCAATACTGTCTGTCCCTCTTCATGGGAGAAGTGAAAAAGAAAATAGATAATCAGAAGAATAGTAAAGCAGGAAATTTTCTTATTTAAGTAAATCCACTAAAGACAGGAAAAACCTTTTTGAAAACTTGAAAACATTTCTATTTTCAATCATACTCAAGTACTTTTTATAAAATGCAGACAGGATACCAATATTGTTATGAGAGAGCTTGGATCCTGACAATACTCAATAAAGTAAGTCTATTATTACAAAAAATTTGGCAGTTTTCATATTTCTAGAGAAAAAATTTATGAAAAATCTGAAGCCCTGAATTTTACATTAATTTTAAAAGAAAAAGCTAGATAACTTATATAAAATCAAATCTAATTTTAACACTCAACTACTATGAGATACAAGGAGAAATAATTTACCATTCTCTCAAATTTTAAAGCATTCATATAATACTAGAAGAAGGCAAAAAGAGAAAAAGTTATCAGTAGCCACAGGAAAAGACAAAATCTAGTAAATGCTTTAAGAGTAACACAAATTGAGTTTGAAGGCCTTTCCTGAATGCTGACAACTTTGTATAAAGCCTTAATAATGCCTAAAAGCTGGGGACTGACAAGAGAGTTCGAGTTTTTCATTCTAGACCTTCCATTTGAAGGGAATTAGGAATTTTAGAGACTAGGATCACTTTCGTAAGAACGTTACGGGTTTTGTAACTGGTTCAAGGTTATTCTATTTGATGGTCTGTGGCCTAGTAGAGACAGCAGTTAATCCTTAACATTAAAAGCCAGTGTGTCTATTTTCAGAGCGAGATCCACTCCTTTTCTTAGTGTGGTCAGTTTTAAAATTCTTAGGGAGAGAAGCATTTTGTTGGTGACTAGAGAAGGGAAATCAAGACCTTTTGTCTTGGTGAACACTATAATTTGGGGAAGCAATTGCTGAGCCTGGCTCCTCCATGTAAAAGCTTTAGCACTTAGACCTACTAAATACTCACAAAACACCTTCACTTAGGCAAATTACAGCCAGAGCCTTTTTCAAAGACCCAGTCTTGAGAGAGCAAGGTGTTTTACAGACTGTCTGAATGGAATATGGGACCATTCCTAGTCCATTGCATAAAGAATTTAAAAAATTCTCAGTGACATCAGAAGCATGGCAGAGTGAGAGATGTCCCCAGATCTCTCCCCTTAAAACAACAACAAACTGAACAACTAAACTCAACAAAAAGCACCCAACCTGCACACAAGCACATCTGAGCAATGGATCTGCAAATAAGAGCTACCACAGGTCAAAACCTCGGGAGTCAGGTGGTAGACTGGGAGAAACAAAGAAGTGCCTCTCGTAGCCAGAGCTCCCTGTAGGAGTAGGGGTAGGAAAGAAGATGCCTGAGAGAGCTGTGAGCTCCACACAGTGGCAGTGCCCAGGGACCAGGTCAGAAAGCAGGAAAGTGGGGACGGCAGAGAGGCAACAGCTGATTATTAACAGCTGCAGTTGCAAAAGATGAAGCCAAGCTGCAGCCCCCATCCTCCAACTCAGAGGGCGCCTCCCCCAATATCCTCCAAAACCAAACACCAGGAGAATCTGAGCAAACGCTACCAAAACTGTATATAACACTGACAGGGACTGAGACTGAGGGTAGCAATAGTGATTGAATATTTATAAGAAAAAAATGCATTATTAAGGCTATATATAAAGCAGGGATCCAAGAGGCTTAGACAACACCTATTGGAAACCAAAAGGAAAACGCCTTCTTAGCAACAGGCTAAAGAGAGACTTTTATATGATAAATCTTCTTTCTGGGGGGAAAAAAGCAGAATACATTTCCATTGATGTCCAGGTGGAGAAATAGTCCATTAAACGCCATGAACAACCAAGATGTTCTCCGGAAAACAAGCTTAAAAACACAGAAATATGAGACTTAAATAACAGAGAATTCAGGATGGTACTTCTGGAAAAACGTAATGAGATCCAAAATAATTCATATCAACAATTCCAGGAATTGAAAAAAAAACAAAAACAAAAACAACTAGATCAGCAGAATGAGTTTTTTAGCAGAGAGACTGAAACCCTAAAAAAGAACCAAATAGAACTTCTGGAGATGAAGAACACACTAAAATACATGAATTATGAAGTAGCAAGCTTAGGAAATAGAGTCGACCAAATGGAGGAAGAATAAGTGATATTGAAGACACAATCTAGAAATAAATCAGAAGGAAGAAGATAAACCAAAAAATGAAAAATAATGAAAGAGAAATACGAAAACTAGCTGACAACATCAGGAGATGAAACGTAAGAATAATGGGCATTATCGAAGGCGAGGAAAGGGAGCAGGGACTAGAAAGCGTTTTCAGACAAATAGCTGACGAGAATTTCCCAAATCTAAGGAATGAGCTGGAGCTTGGAATTCAAGACGTCCACAGAACACTCAATTATCTCAAGCCAAAAAGGTCTTCACCAAAATATATTGTATTAAAATTATCAAAAATCAACAGCAAAGACAGAATTCTCAGGAAAGCCAGGGAGAAGAAAGCAATAATTTATAAAGGAAAACCCATTAGATTATTGTTAGACTTCTCAGCACAAACCTTACAAGCCAGAAAGGAGTGGAATCACATATTCAAAATATTAAGTAAAAGGAACTACCAGCCTAGAATAATGTGTCCAGCTAAGCTCTCCTTTAGATATTAAGGAGAAATAAAGACCTTCCCAGATATAAAAAAAATCGAGGGAATTCTCTACTACGAGGCCTGCACTATAGGAAATACTAAAAGGGGTCAGCTCACTTAAAACAAAATGACCAAAAAATATGTGTGTGTGTGTGTGTGTGTGTGTATGTACACACACACACACACATATATATAGCATAAGGTGACCATCAGGCAAATGGAAACAGAGGAGTGCAACCTTTACTAAGAACAGGGCATTATAAGCTTAAATAATAAGAAGAGAATTACTATAGCAAGATAGTAATGAACGTTCAGCATACACAGGGACAAAGTGAAACAACAATGACTGAAAAGGGGAGGATTCAAAGATCTACATTCACAAAAGGGAATGGAGATTAAGAACATGCAGAAGAAAATGGGTGACTGTATATATATAACTATCCTTTACATATTCATAACAGTAACCACATGCTAAAGATTCAGAACTGAAGTACATAACATAAAACAAGAAGGAACAGAGAGAAAACCCACAAAAACAAACCAAATTAAAAAAATGGAAACACGAGGATAAGGAAGCAACAGAAACACTGAGCTACCAGAAAGCAAAAGATAAAATGGCTACAAAAAGATCTCATATTTCAATAATTACCCTAAATGTAAAAGGACTGAACTCACCAATAAAAAGGCACAGAGTTGCAGAATAGATCAAAAAACAAAACCCAACCAGATGCTGCCTCCAGGAGATACATCTCAGCTCCAAAGACAAA